CTGAATACGGACCGTGTTCAGCAAGGCTGGTGCAAAGATAACAACGGGACAAAAAAATTCGAACCTCTTCAGAATTCTCTGTGACATCCACTGATATATCTAACCTGGTCCTCTTCAGAGACCAATTCAGATTTATGATATCCCCTTGATTAACCTGAAAATATGTAAATGCTATTGAAGATAAAATTAATCCCACTAGTTTGGAAACACATCTCAAACCAATGCCTTTCAAAAAAAATCAAAAAAAACCCACTCGCAGAGGGTATGGTAGAGGGAATATGCCTTGTTCCCAGCAAGTACTTTTCGATGTGTCTATGTACTGATCTCCCCATATAAGAGCCCTGAACAAACAGCAAATCTATGCAAAGCACAGCCGCAGACACCATAATTAGGAGCGAATCATTGTCTCCCACTGTTGCAAGATCAACCACAGCTGCAATAATCAGAATCCGCTAAAAATTGACTTACTTAAAGTGGACGACAACGGCATGAAGCGTTCCGGAAGAAACGACAGGAACCTGCAGAAAGAATAAAATTGTTTCCAAACAAATGAGTTCATGAAAAACAACTCGGAAACAGCAAAATCCTCAACTTCCCCCGAAAACTTTATCATCGTACCTCAATAGAACCGCACTGACCAAATACGTAGCGATGCAGTTCATTGACGTTTTGGAAGTCCACCGTGAGCACCTTGTGGGATGATGAGAGCTGCTTTGCGTCGACCAAGTCCGACACTCGCGTACACCAGTACGGCTCATTTGGTTCTGAACATTAAAGAAAAATATCTAGAACAGTTCTCAATCGTATTACCGATCCAGATTCTAAAGTCAGATTCTTGTTCAGCAGGACTACGAAATCCACATTTCGACCTTGTGCAACAGCACGAATTCACCCAATATGCTTTAGCTTCCGAATGGATGGGACGTACAGCAATTTGCGGAGAGGTGTGGAAAACTAAAGACGTCCAGCTTACAAAAAAAGGTCAGTAGACAGTCCCAAAGAGAACTGGGCGTACAGCTTATGGAAGTACGCAGCCTGAACGCCGAACAAGGATCAATTTTCCAATCTAGCGTGAAGAAAGCTTTCCGAAGAATTACTGCTCTACTCACTCTGCCCATTACATGGAACATA